CGTTGCGTGAACCAGGTCCTTAAAAGAATGCTGTTGGAATTTTTATTTTACCATATACTTTTCCGAGGTGGGTGACGGTAGACTGACGCGAAAACTTTAAAGTCAATTATGTCATATTAGCGTAACGTTATATGACGCTGCAATAACAAGTCTTGCCGCATTTACGTCAAGGCGTTCATGGTATATTCACTCGGGTTTAATCCACCTTGGTATGAGAAGAATCTAAGATGACGTATTAGATTTTTTTAGCATAAACACTGTTGCCGTTTTGTTTCAAATAATATCTGTAAAGCTTTGATCTTTAGATCTCAATTTTAAATCAAGTTTTTATACGAATTTAACGGTTAATATCGACGTGCTTTCTAACTACAAATTATACTAATTTTATTTGCCTTTTATTTTCATTTCAATTATGTGTATTTGACTAGCCAGTTCTGACCATCTCCAATAAGATGTGACATTGTAAATGAAAATGATATAATAAATACGTTGTGAATATGACACAGCATCCCATGTAGGGAACTTTAAACAGACAGTTATATTTTCTATTTAATAACCCCATCCATCATTCTGAAATCAAAATAAATATAAAGATATATCTGTTGATAATAGAATGTATGTACTATGTGTTATAACAGATAAAATCAACAATACGTCCTTGCAATTGACGTATTTGTCGAAAACAACTCTTTAGTATTTATTTCACTGTCCAAAAAAGCCTAAAAATGAGGTAGCATTCAAAGGTGAATAAACTCGTAATCCTCGTGAATTGAGGATTATTGCCTATATTCGATATTCATTAATCATTGAATACGGATTTAGAGGCGCATTTTATCCACTTTCAATTTGGTGGATCTTGTATTATGCATTTATATGAAATACATTGAATTTTACGAAATTTTTCTCTTTGCATAAAACAAAATATCTGATATATGATTTGTTTGTCAAATGTAATTTGAGACGCTATTTTAGGAAATAGTATACGAATGTGCGTCATAACAATGCTGAAATTTGTATGGAGGATCTTGCGTATTAAACCAATCAATGGTTGGCATTTTGTGCCTCCTCACAATCACCCACCAAAGCCTATTCGTGCATACAGAAATGTAAATAATAACTATGGCTAACACAATTATCATCAATAAGCATTCAAATATGACTTGATACATCCATATTGACAATTTTAGATTATATATCTTCTTATTCACGATTGAGTAAGACGCGCCATGTCTGCTTATCCATATGGAAAATGATGAAACATTATAACCAATATTTGAAGTTTATGTCTGGCATTCTGTCTTCTATTTTTAGATGACTTTCGTTACTAATTCAATTATCTACAAATCTTGTTTTACGTTCCAATGGTTCCAGTCAATTAGGGGTTTTATCAACAAAATGGCAAAAAAAATAAGGTTAAACTCGTATTTTCAGTTGATTTCACAATGGCTTTTAAATTGCCAGTCCCATTATATTAAAAATTATTAAATTTAATCATTCTAAAGAATTTTTAGCAACAGTGGTCCTAATACAAAGTAGAGAATCGCTATCTGGGACATGAAGGAATTTGTCAGATAATTTAATTTACTAACGTCCATACGGACATCGCTTGTTGAATCATAATGATCTGGAATGCATAAATGGAATCCCAATTTCCCATTTTTTTGGCTATTGAATGCTTTTCAATGTTCTCTTATGAGCAACATATCCTGATTATTATTGTTTGTTCCTGTTTGTTGAACAAAAGAATATACTGCACAAAGGAATTGAATTATATGATTGATGAGAGTGAGGAACCGAATGTACTTGCTTTCTTTGCACGATATCCTTCAATTGGGCGTGTAATATGGACGTTTATGTGTTTGGCTGTGCCTTGTTCTGATAATAGTTGAATGATGTTATAGAATATAATTTTTTCAACATGAACATTTGGTTGTAAATGCAATAACGTAATCCAAAAGAGGTTATATTAGATTGAAAAGTACCAAATAAGCTTTCTTATATATATTATAGTTATAATATTTTTTAATAAATTGATGGAAAATGGGTTTCGTTATTCATCAATATTACTGCATAAATATTTCATAGCATACAAATGGTAAACATTTTTAGTCAAGAAATTCAAACAAACGCCCATTTCAATAATAATCAGTTGAATCAAATACGAAACATTAAGGATGAATCAACAAGGACAATACGATAATATGATCGACACAAATGTGTATGGATAAAAAAAACAGATTCTATTTTGCAAATATTTATTTGATTTAAAACCTGGATTTTTTTTTTATTGGATTTCACATAAGTATTAACGTTCTAAGGCACGGAGAATCCATTTTAGATAAATTGTGTCGTATGCTTTCACACCTGAATATATATATACATGTTATGAACGATAGTGTACAACTTATGTAGCAATATGAATTTGAGCCTTCTGTTTGAAACATCTCAACGGCGTCGGTCATTCCATGGAGATATTGGAAACGTGAGAACGTCATTGAACTTGATCAGAATGGACGCTATATCATTGACACAAGTTATTTAGTTATTTACACAAGTTATACAGTTGTTATATCGTAATCATGCTTGAAATTATCGCTCAATTTTGAATTAGCAGATTATGCTAATGTGTCTGCAAGAAGAGCCTATAGGGTTACTCCAAGATAAGATGAAGTCGTTTTGCGTGATAATGAGTCCCTATTTCTTTGATTAGTGCGATCTAATCAGGCATTTGGAAACGTAACTGTGACCTTCTTAATGGAAGTCTACTTGGGGTTTATATTCATTTCTTTAATTCGCAAATGGCATAAATAATAAATAAAACATTTCGAGTGGTTCTTATCATAAATGAACTCAAAAAACCTTTTTTTTTCTTCAAACGTACTTGTTTTTAACATCGCCAAATTAGAACTGAAAACGTTAAAATACATTTTTTCAATTATTCGAATCTAGAATTCAATAATGTGGCCTTTTAAAGAAATGGTGATACAATAACGACGCGTCGCCATTCGTTTTTACTCATACTTTACAAAGAAATACTACAGAGAACAGAGAATGAAGGAATAAAATCCCATTCCAAAAATCTTTTATATAAAGGCCATAGTACTGCCAAATATGAGAATAGAATGACATCTTGCTTCATTTTCTAAAAGTCATTCCTTCATAGGAAGTCGTGCGTGCAGGCCGAAATATAAATTATTTAACTGGACTCGTACCAGAAAAACACAGCCATAACAACTTTATACCAATATAGAATGTATTTCCGATGCCTAGTTTATATGTCAGGAAATTCCAAACTTTTCTGCATTTAATGAATAATAAAACAGACGAAAAGTTGATGAAATCCAATACATCATCAGAACTTTTAGTCATACATCCCTGCCATGAACTCTAATTGTCACATAGACGTTTACATCAAAGATGAGGACTACGTAGTTTTCGTTTCCTATATATGATATTAATTAAATGAACTTTGCGAATGTTCGAAACCTCTGTATGTGAGCCTTTTTTGAATAGCGCAGTTATATAGGTTTCACGTTGCGATAAAGTGATGGCGGTAAACTACATATATATATATAATATATCTTTTTGGGAAGTTCAAATGTTGAACGAATGTAACTAAACAGCTTTGACAGTAGGACAAGACGCTTGTTGATAATGACTATAACAGTGGTTCCTTAATTTTCATGATCCGTTGCCACCTTTCAAAAAATTCTCATGGCTTATGGGCCCTTGATCTTCCATAAAAACAATCTATTTGCTTTTATTACGTTTCCCTCAGTTATTTTATGTGCCACGTTTAGGAGGGAAAAATGCGGCAAATGAAAGCATAAGAATGAACGCATTTGCAGTCAAGGAAGCCCAGTTTTAGAGAACCTGGACGACAACGTATTTACTAATTGTGTGCATGGGCGACCCCCCGAAATTTTCAACATGTTTTTAATTTGGAAATACAATTTTGCGCATTTGCAGTGAGACATAAATCATTACGCCTTTTTCAACACCATTTTACTCTATTCTCGAACGATTTACTGGAAAATGATTCTTTCCTGGTATGCTATCAATAATCCTTTCACCAAATGAACCAACTGAGATAGAAGCGCGCATTTCATCTAACTTCGACAGCGAAGTCAGTCTGTAGAGAGATCCGTTAAGATATTTAGACTTCTTATAGGCTCCAAGGTTGAAATAGCCAAATCAATGACGTTGATCCCTTCTGTCCTACACGTTGTGCGTTCGTTTCATATAAGGGATATACTATGTAGAAACAATGCTTGGATGAACGTTTTGCCAGTTCATAATTATTACATTCATATGAAGAAGATTGGTATTTCGGGATCGTCTGGTCTTTTATCAGTGAGCTCCCATCAATCATTCTATTAATTTAATTAACTACTTCATGTGCAAGTGACGTACATTAAATCCTTGTACTAATATCATTATTCGAATTCAGCGGACGATATCTCTCAAGGGTAAACAAGAATGAGGGTTAAAGGTCAAGATCTAAATGGAACGAGGCATGGAAGTGAAGGATGTACGACAATACATTGTAAACAAAGTTTTAAAATTTCATAAGTATAGTAATGTAATAGAACGGCCCGGCATCGATCAAAATAATTATGCTCAGATAATTGCACGTCGATTTCTGAGTTGGGCATTGTCCCATACGTCACCGAAATAGAGATGTATCACTGCATGTAAGCGTATTAAGGGTTTTGATCGAACCAGTTTTATCCTGTTCTGTCCAGTTGGCGGGACTATCATCCTTTGCAAGTCTGCACCCAGCGTGAACCAGCTCTGTATTCTTGCCATAATTCCTCCCTCATTGCCAGCTTTTTTGGTCTCTTGATCAACAGGTAAAAGGAGCAAATAAACATGCCAAAATTATGGTTTTTAATATTTTTATTGTTGACGTTTTGATCAAATAGGTAAATAATAACAATAAAAAAATAATGAAGAATATCGGGGAACGAAACAGATAATTTTATTGAAATTAGGAGGGGGGGGGTGATATTTTAGCAAAAAAAAAACATACCTAATCCATTGCATTTTCAACACAACTCATTATATATAGCCAATGCTTGAGATCAACATTTCCATTAACGTTCATAATTTGAAAAAAATCCGAATTGAAAAAAAAATCCCCATGATAATATACCAAGGTAAACGCATATACGGTATTTGCACCAATCAAATATGATAGAACGATAAAAGCAATAACTCAAAACGAAATAGACAACATAAAATCACAAAGTGCAATATCGTTATATCAGATATAGGGATATCAAGCAATATAATATAAATATATTTATTTGTTAGAAAGCAAACCCGTACCAATTGAATTCACATATATTCAAATAAAGCTTCAATGCATTACTTTTACGTTCATAATCACGTTTTACGTTAGGTGTTTGTTAGGCCAAAAAATGAATCCAAACTCTCGCAAATTTAGTTGATTATAGGCTACTACTGCCTGTTCAGGGTCAGTCTTAACCAGTCAGAGGACCCATGCAAAATCATTGCACGGGCCTAGATATTGATGATAACAAAAAAATAAGGTTTTGTGATAGAAAATTACTTCGTCTTTACATTTTATCATTCCTATAGTCTATAACTAAATACAAAATCAGGTTTCAAGTAACTTTACTCTACGGGCCTTGCGTGTAGAGGTTACCGTGATGTATCCTTAAAATTATGCTTTCTACATAGAACATACTCAATGATAAGAACTATCAAGCGCGGGGCCTATGGGAATGCGGGGCCCACAACGGCCAAACAGGTTGTGGTGGCCTAAGCTAAGTCAGCTTCTGTTTTCTATTGATCGTACCAATGTTTTGAACGTATTTCAATCAGTTATCCGTACTTTTGCACTCGACATAGAACACACTCAATGACAAGGATTATGAAGCGCGGGGCCTATGGTAATGCGAGGCCAATTGCGGCCGCACAGGTTGTGGCGACTTAAGGCCGCTTCTGTTTCTATTGATCGTACCAATGTTTTTGAACGTATTCCAATCAGTTATCCGTACTTTTGCAGTACGTGGTTTGCCTCCGAAATTTTATCTGGCGTTTATCAAGATTGATTATCTATTTCGCAATGTTTTTCTTCTTGTAAATGACTAATAAACGAATTATGGATCACTTTTCCTCGGGAATTTGTACATAAACGGATGATCAATTAAACAGATATCATTGCTGGTATGTAGGGTTTTTCGGGCGTCAGATTTTGCTATGATTTATGGAGACGTTAAGCGTACGTTTTGGGTTAGTTGCAAGTATAAATTGTCTATATTCGGTATTAGGGTTGGAAAATTTTGGAATTTTACTGTGACGTCTTAAACGTAAAATTGTCAACAACGGTGATTTCAGTTTGAAACTGTTTTTTTTCCGGTTCAATCACAAACATTCTTACATAATATTTAATAAGAATCACAATAAGCTATGTACGCACAGAAAAAAATGCAAAACAAAAATAATCTACCAGTGGATGGCAATACTTTAGTTCTTGCCCATCAATATGAAAAAGCATAATAGAGTCCAAATATTTTTATACAAATGAGACTTCGCATTTCGCAGTACGAGTGTTTCAACAATGACGGCGTTGGCTCAATGGGGGATCCAATAATATCAATATCGTGTGCAGTCACAGAACGATGAAATATCAAAATGACGCTTTTACGCGAGATGAAAAATTGCTCGTTTCGAAGACGCTATTGAACAAACCGCTATTAAATAATAGCAAATCTTCAATATATTTCCACCATACATTTTTTCAAGGAAAATTCTGATAAAAGTATTAAAAGTCAAGTTACTCAACTGGATGACGGAGTCCCCAAATTTTCACCATTTTTATTATGTTGTACACATGTCCACATCGATATTTTTTTTTTATAAATATTCTAAAATAGATGGTATTAGTGTATAAAAAATCGCAATTTGATAAAGATCGAACATACTGTATTGCTCTATGATTTAAAATGTTCGATGTAGTTCCCCGCAAGACTAAACCAACAAAACAACCGTGACGAGATTCGGAGAGGATCAGTTAGTAAATTCGCGGTTATGTGGTTCTGTATATATAGTTTTATTAGACAGGTTGAGATGACAATATGACATATATGAATGAACTTCAATGACGCTATCTCATACGTGGGGTATAGACAGAACAATGGAGGGGCGGCGCAAATTTGATAAGCAAAAAATTGTCAGTAGAATTGGTCAACAATAACAATGTAAGGTTGGTACTGAAATTCGATTGTGTGGTTTAATGAGACGACTAATTCTAATTCCACGTTCGCGAAGATAGAATGAATATTAATATAGTTGCCGCGGATGCTTATTGCTCAGTATTATTAACCTTCCACGCATTACGCAAACAATTATGACGTTGTGCGTTAATCTCAATGGCGCAGGGGATATTTTGAATGCGGTTGATCGCAATTATACAAACCAAAGTGCGTTTCTTTTTCGTATATTTTGCGAGCAGTTGGTATACTAGTTATTAACTATTGTTGATAGAGACGACCGTGGAAATCCGGTATCACGAATCGATAAATAAGCCGCGAACAATCGCTTATCGTACGTTGAAACGAAAAACATCAACCACTCCACTGTTTGAGGTCAAGGTTAACTAGTATTGGGCTACAACGGAACAAAATACGTAATAAAGGACGTGCATAACATGGTTGGTCAACACTTACGACACAAGGTAAACGGTACACAGTACTAAAGAGTACCAAGTATGTAAATATTTGGAACGGACTAAAATGCATTTTGGCCAATGTGTGGTGTAGATGTTAGCACATACAAAAAAAAACGTTCGACCCAGAATATTTTTATGTTTCGTCGAAATATTTGAAAACACATTTTCCATCAGAACGATAAGAAGCTATGCAGCCAATGATATAATTTCTACCAATAAAAATCAATTTGCCAACATTAATTTTTCGCAAACCCCCAAATTGAAGTGATTACAACAGATAATTTAAATATCTGGTCCTAATAAAAGGCTTGAGTCTGATACTATGCAATACATACGTCCAATTTGTACATCATAGTCAAAATATCAATACAAATGAAAAAATAATTCCGACATGAAAATATCAAATATACTTGAATGTTAAGTCTAAAAATCGCAATTTTCTTACAATACCAATTTAGAATTTTACCTGAAATTAATTCATTCGGATTTCATGTCTATTGTTAGTTAAAATATTTCCCTCAATGTACCATAACATTACTAGTAAAATGTACCATCCTCCATTATTGTGTGGCGCCAGTCCCGATACAACTACCGACAATGCCCATAAATGGCATTTAAATGAATCCACGATAGCCAACCGAACTCTCAAGTCTTTTGGATATTATTGAGACACCGTTTCGCATTATTTGAACTCTTGGAACGAGATTCCGTATTTTTCAACCTCTTGGGTGTAAACGGTCTTCAAGCAAGCGTACCGCCTTCAAGGTGGTCACGTACTAGAACTTTCCCTCTTTTTAAAAATTGGAGACGGTGGCACAGACCGAGAAGATGAAGTTGACGGCTGCATGGAAAACGTATTCTCACCTATTCGATCTCGACGACGGGTTTGCCAACACCAACGAAACCGTCTTCTCCGATTTCCACGTTTGCTGCAGGTTAGCAAACGTATAAAAGTGTTACGAAAGGTCTTATTGCACGCCGCGTAACAAAATGGGTTCAATGTTGAATTGATGTAACATAAATAATACGCAAAATCCCAAACAGCTGTTGGTATTGTCGCCTCACATGATTTCCCGGTGCAAAAAGAAGAGTATAGGACGCAAACGTTATAGGGCAACCATGTAACGACGAATGCTAGTAAAATTGCGCTCAAAGTTCGTGCCGCCTTGCGGTCAGTCGACGGCATTTTTGCTTGACCAGGAGTGGGAGCTTCCACAGAAGATTGACTTCTCGGAATAGCTGGGGGTTTTTGAGGTGGAACAGGGAGAGAATCTCGACTTCTTTTAAATCCATCGCCCTCGCTTTTTGTCCTTCTAGCTAGACATGGTACGCGCTGATCGGACTCTTCGTCTGTAGTTATTATGATTGGTACTACAAAGTCTTTATTATGGACAGAGTTAGAATTTGCAGAATTACAGTTTGGAGAAACTGTGTCACCCTGTAAAAGAGCGCAACTTTCGCCTTTGTCCACGGGAGTCGTACCAGAACTCGATCGTCTTGACAATGTAAGAGTATGTGACTGATCACAGCAGCTGGATTCGGTATCACGTCTGTTGTAGTTTTTATCAGGAAGACTTTCTTCCATCTTTTCTCGTCGTTCGTCGGTAGTCGATGATTTAAATGTATTTCGAATTGATCCTACAATCGTCCTTTTTAGTCTTTGGAAATGGGATAGCCTCGCAGCAGTCGTTTTCCCGTCTGTTGCATTGTTGTTGACTCCGTTCATATCTGTCGAACTATTACTCAGTGACGCCGTGAAATTTACCCGAGCTTGAAGATCACGATTTTCCGTATGGCGATCCTCACAAGGTGACACGTCGCCACAAGAAGCTTCGTCCGGGTTTTCTTGTAATGGATCGGGACGCCAAATGGGCATTGCTGAAGTACGAAAACTGGATGATGGAGTCGAGTTTATCCGGCGTCTCGGAGGAGAATTATCACCAATTGATTTAACACTGGCTGACGAAGGTGCTGACTTTTGTGCGGTTGCCGCTCTTTTAACGATGGGAGATTTAGCGTTTGATATCTTATAACTTCTCAAATAATCCAAATACTGACGACATCGTCTTGTTTCCATAAATATACGCCAGTATAATATTATCATAATTAATACAGGCAGATAAAAGGCCAGTATGGCCGTCACACAGGTTATAATTGGGTTTTGAAAAAATTCAATTTGACATTGTCCGTCCTCAGCTAATCGATCTTGTACACGTGGCCATATTAATATTGCCGGTGCCCAAAGTAGCATCGAAAATATCCACGCTAAAACGATGGCAACTTTGGCCCTTGGTCGAGTTCTTTTAGATCTGTACGTGAAGGGGCGCGTGACAGAAAAGTACCGGTCGAGGCATATTAGCATCAAGTTTGCAACGGATGCCATACTGAGTGTATAATCCACACAGAGCCAAATGTCGCAGAAGATATGTCCAAAAGGCCAATACTCCGTAATCATCATGATTGGATATAAGTTCATTGAAACGACACCTATTACGAGATCTGAACACGCCAGGCTCACCAAAAATAGGTTGTTGACTGAACGGAGCCGCCGATTGCTTCTGTAGGCAATGATGACCAACAAATTTCCGCCCACTGTTACAACCATCAAAATAACAGCAGCCAGTGCGATGAACACAACCTGAAAGTATGAATGAAATGAATTAAAAAAAAATGAATTATTTTTACATTCAGGAAATCGATTAACTTGACCGCACGCAACAAAATCTTATAACCTAATAATAGTAAGTGAAAAATTAAAACATATGCCATTGCATATACATTGAAGTTTTTAAAAGTTTCTACGAAATAGACTAGACTTGTAATAATACAATTGATGTTTAGTGTTCTATGCATACGGGTGAGGGAGTTTATCCATCATTTACCGTGTATTAAATGAACGAAATCCATTCGACGTGTGTGCATAATCTCCATTAAACACAACATTATGTATATTAAAATAATGTTGGTATTGAAACCCCCAATAATAGAGATTATCTACAATCACAAAACATTATGTTAACAGCCGATAATGGATTATGGTGAGGCGAGGTGACACAGTGGAAAGGTTAAATAAATATTCAGATAATTGGAAGAAATGAAAACAAATTTGGTTATCGTATGAATTGGATTTTATAGGAACCAATAACATGTCGAAGACTTGTCGAGCTATCCTATCGAATTGCATTGTTTTGTCCATTTTGCTTTCTGCGTTGACCCAAAGTATGTCGGCCTCACCGATTCACAGTTTATGTCCACCAATTCAACTACGAAGTAATAAATTGAAATAAAGATCCATTATATGCAACTACCCATAATTATTAATATGCAAATTATGGGCAAAATTGGTAACAAAATTTGAGGAATATCAATATAAATAATATTGATATGAGTGGAATTTTTTTTTAGTAAATGTTTATTTACCACTATCACCTTTTCTTCTAGAGAACAGACTTGAATATACTTTATCAATAACACGAGACTAAAATTCGCAGGAACTCCAAAAACAAAGACATAAGAGCAAATAGACTATTTATTTACAAACGTTCTTAAGGTGACAGAAAATCCATTAGCATAGATAATTGATAAAATATAGCATTTTCTCCGAATGATAGGATTCGTTAGGTTTACAAAATAAATCTCGCGTGATAGTGATTTATGGTTGGCTACCACTGTCCAACAATGAATGGCATTTCCATTCTGCGTAGCCGACAAATAACTAACGATTTGCAAAGATTATGACTATACGTCATTCCAATGGATATACACCGGGGCTACTCAACTATTTTCATCAAAGGTCCGTACACAAAATTCAAAAGTTATCGCGGTCCGGTCATTTCAAAAAATATATTTTAACCATGCAAACAAGAGAATTGTTTGACCAAATACGATAACACAATTATTTGAGCAAAACGATTCATTAGTCGACTTCGTGTCCAATAGCAAAGTTATTTTATTTATAAGTTATCAATATTTGTTCCAATTAAATTTCAAAAACACAAGTAAAACCTGACAAATACCACACAAAGCCCCAAAACAATTTAATGTTTACCACCTTGTCTAAAAAACTGTGAAAAATGTATCCAAACAGCCGCTAAAACTTCGGTTTTTACGCCACTATTGACATCTTGTTGATTAGCTAATGCTAAGGGAGTAAACAAGTGAGTTGATGCTCTGAGAAACTTATATTGCTATGACAATTTTTTTCAGTGATTTGGCGAAAAATGGAAAATGCATTACACCACATTAGTGAAATAAAAAAAAGGGGGATATTCATAGTCAAGAAGCAGCTGCGGTCCAAATTGAAGACTTCAAAGGTGCGGGTTCGGACCGCGGTCCGCCAGTTGAGTAGCCCTGATATACACGATGATATACACTAAAGAAAAATGGTAGAAAAAGGGTGTTTGAAATCCAGGGTTACATAAGAATAAAATCCTGCCACGGTTGTATGAATGAGTGCCTGATAGAAAAACTAACTAAGCATTTCCAGACCCAGATCAAGAAATCGTCAGCAGACGCAATAATTCTCAATTCAATGCCACACTGCCCTAAACCACACAAGCGTAAACGAATGCAAGAGGCATGCAATAATGAATATTTCAAAGGGTTATCAACAAAGAAGTTCGGCATGATCAAGTATAAATTAAAAAATCTTGACGTCGTTTATACCCTTGGGCCGTGCCTGATCATGTGTATACTATTTGATCTGGCGCGCAGTCGGTAAATATTTGGAAACGTATTTCAGGGTAACAAGTAGAGCCAGTAAGTGATAAGCGAGTAAATATGTGGTTACATTTATGAACAAAAACTATGTTGAAACGCTATAAAGTTTGACATGACAATGGCTATAAAAACGGGTTAGTTTAATTTATCTTAGATATAATTTACTTGGTGCGCACAATTTTCAATTTCATATAAAAAAAGTTTTCCGATGAAGATTTTAAAATAAGATAACCGGACGAAGGGGCAGCAGGATAATCAAAATAATGACCATGAACAAGCTAGGCTATCTTTTGAAAGGTAGTATCAGCGACTGGTCATAACGATTGCAGGGCCCTTTGCAAAACGGATTGGGCGAGGTCCAGTCTGGGTCGTGATGAAAAAAATAAAAAAATCGCTTTTACATTTTATTACCATTTAACTGAGTACAAAATCGCGATTAAAGTAGATCGCTATACACTCTTAACTTAGCATCACTTCCATACACCTTTGAGACCAAGAGCATGAAGGAATTCGGCGAAACAATTGCAGTGATGTACGTGGAACGAATGATAGGAAGTTCGATACACGACAAATTAACTTTCAGAAGCAACGTCGAACATCAGTGAAAAAAACGCTAATCCGCGAACAAAGTGAAAATAGATTCGGCTTGAGTAAGCATATCGACAAAAGATCAGGTATACAAGTGAATACCAATCCCTATCAAATACCTCGAATCATGTAACAGAAGCGGATAAAATATTTTCTGGTGAATGATAAAAAACTTGATTATGATTGATTATATTGATAAAGTTTGTTGGTATACATATACAGATGAATACAGTTCGCCCAATATAGATGAACCCGAATCACCAGCGCCATATAGAAGAAAACTATAGTAAGCGACGTGGAGTTGAAACGAACTCAAAAAGCGAAATTTAATGGCAAAATTAATAGAATTACTTCGACTGATGGCGAAATAATGAACCCAGAGGGCCAATTACCCGCTTCATGACGATAGATAGGTGGTTTTTATTAACATGTGTGGTAATTAGGCGCTGCTTCCATCACGAAAATGGCATTACGTTGAAACGAGATAAGATGAACTTTAAAGCTGGGATACTGCTTTGCCCCAGAAGGGGAGTGAAGGAAGTGCACAAGTTTTCATTTGAAATTTATATCTTGCGGAACAATATAAATACACTATTGGATACAGAATATTATTGATATACATTATTCAGAACTCACGACTCATAAAATGTTTTGTCTTTCTATGACCATTAAAATGATTTTAATAATACAAGGTTGCAGTGTCTCAAGAGGGTTGTTCCATCGGCTAGCATTTCATCTCTGCAGGTCACAGTTGCCAGTGACCTGTCATAACATGAAAATGATCATTATATTGTTATATGTCAACATGGTCATAACCAGTGAATTTCAAATGACATTTAAGTAGACTAATATATCGATATATGATACTTAAACGATGCAGAAATGAACGAAGGAAAAAATTTGTGGAGAATATTTGCACTAAAATCACAGTTAGGTTGGCAATTGAGGACCAACTGGTACAGAATGTAGAAGATATTGTGTTGTGACTCGTGTAAATTCATCAAAGGCCACATTCATCGCACCGTAATCTTTAGTCCTCTGAGGAATACGACATTAACTTGAAAAATAGCCAAAATAGAGTAATATGCCTTCATGGATGGCATACATGCCAAGATGGCAAGTTTGATCATAACTACGTATACCCAAGGGAAAATGGGGTCAAGGCAACAAACTAAGCAGACGACATTTTGTAATATCTGGCAAGATGATTCTAATGCGGGAAACTGTCGCCAGCATTGATTGTGACTTAGATTGATACTTTTGATTACATATACTGTACTATGAACTATTTCAAAATTTTGGTTACTACCGCATCACCACTTGGTAATATGTGAGCCGAATGCAACAAAAACAATGTTTGCATGCTAAAATAGTGATGAAACATATATTGGCACATTACCAAGAATGACTCACAAGCCGCTAAAAAATATAGATGTTGAAAACATATTGTACAATTTTTTTTTTATGAACTATCGTTTGGAAGATAATGGAAGGCGAAATTATTTCATTTCAACTTTTAAGAACGATTTCTGATCAAAAATGCTCCCAACGGTATAATTTGGGGTACTGTAACATGGGGTATCCCCACCATCGGCTGTCATACCAAGTATTTTCACCAGCGTTCGACAAAGGTTGATTTTAGCAAGTGAATTTGCAAACAAGTTTCTGCATTATTATCACAATCCAAACAAATTTCTTAGCAAAAATGTTTACTGGTCAGATTAAACAAACATACTACAAGCGACAAAACGCATCGCATTTCCAGTGCTGTTAGAAGAACTTAATGGTAGAAATTATTTTCAATTTTTAAGTAATGGTACTAAGTAATTTACTAAAAAGTGTTTTTCAAATAACAAACAATAACTCAACCATATGCATGAAGATTCGCCGGCACCACATACTCGTTTGAGATATGAACTTGCAACTTGAGTGACGTGGAAAGCTAATCGAAAATTAATTTGGTGCAACGTGCTAGCAGACAAGACAGAAACAGGGCAACTCCTGGGATGAGCAACTAGACTTATTCGTTTTTTTTTTAGAATTTGAATCGCCTACCTATATCGGTTTATCTATGTAGAACACCGCACACGGCAATAGCATACAGGTGAATGTGAGGGTGTGGTTTTCGCCTAAAACTGCGAAGGAAATTCCATACATACTTTTTAAGCTGAAAAAAATATTATTCAAAAAATTATATCAGAATGCCAACATTTCATTTTTAATAAAGCATTCATTATAGGTTATGAACTAATAAGGATCAAATTGAATTCGATGTCTCGATTTATTGTCGTGCAGCATTGATATTGAAATTATTGGCATGCACATCCCAAAGACCTAAAGGATCATGAGGGTTTGAAAATGTACTCTGAAAACATTGTAAATGTGGTGTGACAGTATGACGCATGCAACATACTTTGCAAAAATTTGAACAAACAGCGTTTTAGTGGTTTTACTGGTAGTCGATAACAATCCATTGCAAATAATCGACCTGGACATACAAATTAGTACGGCCATTTTTACTGCGATCTTAGATGGTGAGTTTGTGTAGATATAAAACCCTAGTCACGAATTGCTAAGTCTATCCTACAAACAATTATTCAGGTGTTTTTTGTTATTTAAACGTTGGCACCTCTCAACACGTCGTTGGGAACAGATAACCTTGTCGTATCGGTGAAGAAAAGACTGAATAATAACATTTTTTGCACTGATTAAGCTGTTATTATCACATATCAAATATCCACCAATTTGGACATAACATATTATACGTGCCATACATCTGTGGTACACACTGAATAATTTGAAATCAAGGGTTCCCAATGGACAAATTACTTGCTCCTCAACATCGTGAAGCAAGCTGCACGCGCCACACGACCTTTCCCATTTGCATCTGACTTTGATTACGGATATTTTGCCATTACGTTGAAAACCAACTACATTACTTTTACTTGCATGAACTCATTTTAGATGCGCGTAAGTCGTTTGGTATTACCGGAAATGGAGGAAGGAAGCAATAGAAATATGAGCAATGTTAGGCATATGCCTCAGAACGTTATTATTGTTCATGTCATGTGTCAAGATTGGTTAGTTTTGATACATACCGGTATATGCAAAACACCGTGCACGGAAACAGTAAATACTGAGTTATTTTTGTGAGTAAGTTGATTTGACATTATATTTGTGAATAAACTCAAGACTGAAAAGCCCTAAATTATTAAAATTTAACAATAAAATGTCGTTGTGATATCAAAATAACATTATCAATTTCACTGTACAATTATATTGAGCAATTTTAAACAATTTTTTCACAGCAACGTTCCTTATATTTGAAACTAGCTGGAAGTATATATAATTCACAAAGCAATACTCATAAAAAGTTTCAAAAAAAATAACAATTTTCAAGTACTGATGCATTTTTGTACTGATTTAATTTTATAAACTGTGTGCTGATGTTGTGTATATTGGAATATGCCAACTAAAGCTTTACGGCATATTGGAGTGATTTAACTCGGAATTGTCTCATGTATATCTGTGCATTCAGGATTTGTACGTTGGTTCGAAAATTTGATACATTACACAATACAGTAGTACAATACAACGAAAGTTGCCAGTCATGTTTAGACAAACGTGAAATAATAAACACTCAATCGTTGAGCTCAGGCGATTTGATGAGCTCAAGAGTCTGCGACGATTTTGAGGGTGTGGTGGAGGCGGTTCAGAGAGGAGAGGCACAAACGAATGACGCAAAACGAACCCTTATGTAGGCTACCTTGCGCGTCATCAATGCTACAGTAATGGAACTCGGCTGAAAACAAGGTTCAATTAGAATAATATTACTGCATTCTCATGATGGTGGTTAATAAATACAAAACCAGAAAAAGTTACAAAGAATTTTGATTGTGTCCTAACCAATGCTCTTTCTTGTACTGAAATAATAAGTAAGAATAACACTTAAGAATCATCAAATGATTTTCTGAAAGTCTAATTTGTTTGGCCGACATTGGCTATGATGCATTCGCATTTCTGATATGTGACAAATGCAGCCTGCAAATAGTGTATCAATACATCATCCATATCCCAACAACGGACAACTCGGCATGGCGACTAAGATTCGATTCTTTTCTTGGACCCCGAAACAATACATCATTATTTCAATACTACGATTAGTGTGCTTCGTTGGTTGCGGCGGCCCCATAATATCTCAAATACTGCGTGAAAGAGCAGACAGACACGATACGTGTGGGAATTAAACTTGATCACGCGGGCACGGCCTTGTCGATGTCGACACACACCTAGACTTATAAATACAGAATTATAATACATCGGCAGTTATGGCCGAGATATGCACCAACGTTAGTCGGATTACACGCAACCATAAACGATCGTACGGCGAATTAGAACCTCGTCTATCAACAAACTTAAGACGAAACATGAATTCAGCCTTGTAACGCCGGCGATAACGCCAAACACGATGGCTGAATGACGTAGTTGGGCTTTTGACCCCGATTTGAAGGCATGGATGTCAACACTCGATTTAATTTTATGCATAATTGTCTTAGAATATCAAGCGATGCAACTCTCTGACTTCATTGCAGATAAGATGGCACGCTGGGTTGTTTGACGTCTTATGTTAATATGCTCGTTTTGTATAATGCTATGCATTCAGTTATTGCGAGAAAGACTAATATAAAAAAATAAATAAATATTGCTATATATTTATATATAGCAAAAAAATCAAATAATAACATATCTTGATTGTATGTCGATACGCCCAAACCACAAAAATCCCAATCGTGTGGCATTTCATACAGAATAAGCCACTGAGCAGTGAAATAATAAACACAAAACGCGATTCTGTGTCAACAATAAAGCCAATTTGCCCAGATTGACTTTCAAAAACGCACATGGTACCCTTTGCCTTTTTAGTGGCATTGAGCTGTTAAATTGTTTTTTTTACAAATTTCTATTTAAGTAGATAACCGTATTCACGTAAATACTGTGGTATTTATTAATTATGTAATAATAATTATCATAAAATAAATCGCAATACACATCGATTACTTTGACGCAAGTCGGGTATTTGGTTTCATATACAGAAAACCACAAGAAAAATACCATTACATACTTAGGTATATCTGGCAATGAAGTCACTAGTTTAATCTTATTCTTGGGCGTTACTTACTCGAGAACGTAATATATCAATGAAACATATTTATTTAATATATCTGATCGCGCTTTGCGGATGTTTCTTTTAACAAAGGTCAAGGGTCTTCATTTAAAAACTATAGAAAATAATTTTTTATTTTAATAATGTAGATTTAATGACATACGACATTTGAAACCCTTCAACATAGTGAACCGTGACTCTGAGTCCAAATCAGGATATAGCCCTGTGGGCTGGAGCGTGAACAATTTCACATTACGGTATATAAATCAATTATATAAATTAAAGAATATTACAATTTCAGACAAATTCAAGACACTTACCCCAATAACAGTATGTCTTCCCAGTCCCAATCCCTTGTGAGTATTATTGGATGCCATACTGGAGAAATCCAAGCCATCCGAAAAGGTCGGCGTAACCGTTTCGGCTAAGCTATTCGAAATTGATGATGACGACATTTCGTGTCCATTAGTTTGCTCTGACACTGAAGTCGTGGTAGTATTCTGAAATTCCATGATAGTCTATAATATGTAGTTTGACGGTAGTGATCTAAAACGTTTTTAGTTTCCGAAATCCAGTTCTTGGACTGTAAATCCGATTTTAGGCGGCTTTTTCTGCATCAACACTAGCTCTAAATCTAAACATTATGAAATGGTGTTCAAGGCTTACGCCTGCAAAAGTAAATATATATATTCATATTATATTGTTATTAATAAATCAATTCCAGATCAACTATTACAGCAGGTGGATAAGTAATGAGCTGAGCTCTTTCAGGCGATTACATCCGGGGGTGGTATGCACCAGCGGTGCAGACGTTACACAGCATTTGTGCGAAGCTTGTATCAAAATATTTTTAAACAGATAACTACATCATGCTTAAGACTTCGGTAAGGATATGCTTACACTGCACACCCTAAATTAAATTATGACATCATCTCCTACTTGCTAAAACAGTTACTGCAATTGACTTCGCTACACCACAACAGCAATCAGTCATGCTAAGCGTAGCGAAGAGCAAGAACACGAAAAATGAGATTAAAAAACTGTCATATTTGAAAACAATTTTTATGTTACAATCTGTCGACTAAAGCAAAAATGGAATATACCAAGACTACAATTTACCGAATAGGTCGATGACATGGAACTGCTTGCTCTAAATAAGTTATAGCAAGCCATGCAAGCAAATTAGGTCAAATTGGCACACAAAAACGACTGAAATTGTTACTACCAAAATCTGGAAATTTCATAATATATATAATATAGGCAATTAGTTTTTGATGCCAATGAAAACCATTCTTCTAATTATAAAGTTACTTTTTGACATAGTAATTATATAACCTTAGTGAGCCTCCTGCTTGTAAACTAACAGCTGTAATATCCTAAATATGAAGCGAGCTCTGGAATTTGTCAATATCATTCTGAATCAAAACAATATAATGCGGTTTTACAACCGTACAGTTCATGCATAATTTACCAAAAGCACTATAACTAACTGCAACAGGCGGTTTCGATTGTTTTACCTTTAATTATTCACTTGTTTGAACCGACTTAGATGAGATTTACATTGGATTACATTCCTACGATACCGTCAGTTTGCCCACAATGATCCGATAACCTGCTTTAAAATTACACCTTTTCCCTACTATCACAACTTTTGCATGTTTGTACGTTTGTTTGTTTTGCCGGAAAACTTTAATCAGCTAAATAGCACTGCTGCAATAACAAGCTGATGCAAGACTCGTTCTTGCCTTCAAATTGAATGTAGCATATATATTATTAAACATAATGTATATAACATATCAAATTAGGTTAATTCGATCACGATGGCGGTCTCGTCCCAGCTCATATACTGGATTAACTTCTCGTGGTTAAATGGCATGAACCTGAACTTTCGTGACGAGACGTCATAACAATGTCAGGCTGCTCGTCAAATCTCCAAAAAACATTTACCACGATTGGTAACAGGATGATATGTTTGCTGCGTTATTCAAAACATGAACTACTACTTTACGCACCGCCATGTCACGTCACGTCCACAATATTTGAATTCACTTAATTGCCCGAAGATTTTCTTGTGCTTCTCGAGGTATTCAATAAATACACAGACCACTTGCTACCATTTAGGTTCAAAAGGTATTTCTTGTCGTGTTGTGGGATAATGGATGACTTGACATTCTTTCAAGCGTATATTAAACATAATGACAAAAGATTCTACTGAACAAACCTCAATCGTACCGGATGGAGAATAGAAGTGTTTATTGCAAAGCAAAAAACAAAGACAAAATTTGCACGCACATAGTTTTAAAACCAAGAGCTAAATGGCCTCAAAGTTCTAAGAATCTATAACTTCAAAATTTGAAGCCGATTTACTGGCTACATTTTTCAAAGAATAATACCAACATCATCTTGACCCCATAGAAAGATGAAAATGGATGTTTATTCCACTGTACTTCAGTGTTTAGTGTAAAAATCAAGTTCAATAACAAATTTGGCATGTCTTTTGAAAATGGAAAATTTTGACGGATTGGTAAGTAAAATAATATAGTAATATTTTCTCACGTCAGATTTCTTGGAAACGACGTTTCGGAAAACCTTTAACCCTTGCTCTTTTTCACGTGAACTACATCACTTTGCATTCAGAAATATTGGCTACGAGTTACAACGCGACGTCGATGACGTCAATGGCGGCGATATGGCAAATTGTTGTTGAGTCTCGAACAACACTTTCCAATTCCTGATTTAAATTTGAAATACTAATTTTGAGCAAGAATTTGAATTCTCGCTTAAATTACCTCAGAGAAAAATTATATCTATGACGTCATCTCTCAGACAACCGCGAAACGTCTACATTTAAGATACAATGGATGGCATTGTTTCTTTCTCAACTTTGTTGCGTATACTATAAGCCGAACTTAAAAAATTTAAATTGATAGAACTCCCGATAAAGGTCCGTGTTTAAACACTTCATGTAAACTGAAATTATTCTACGGAACATACTTAGTCTAGTACAAACTGATAAATAGTTTTAATACGTAGATGAAACATAATAGAAAAACTAAATCTCGATAAGCGAAACTTTAAACCCTTCCAAAACCCCAGTGGTATCAAATAACTGCCAAACACAAACGCGCGACATTTCTACGCGTCGGAACGTGTGGAATAAAATAGTAACGATGTGTGAAAGGTTTCCCAAATATGAGCTTTTACTAACCTTTATAGAAATATTACATGAAAATTACATACACATGCAAAATTCTATTAAATTTGAAAACTGAATAAGAACTACAAAGTCGAGTTAACTATAGTTATATGTACATTCATCAGTAATGTAATTGTTCTTTGACAAAATCAGGTACAAATATGGCGTACCTGGCTTATTCCCGTTTGACTCCAAATCATGGCCTCACAAATTTTATTTTAGACCAACATCTTTAACAAAGATGTATACCGCTCAAACGAAGATACAGGCAGGTAAAAAATACTAATTCATAAATTAATTATTATATATCTAAAAACTGAAGCTGTCGGCAAAACCAAAAAAATCCGAATACACAACCCATCTGTTTTATATCCCGAACCATATCTAAATAAAATGTTAAAGGTTTATTGAAATCAATTATTAGGCATAATATTTTTAATCTTATTCCAGTAAGAATACTGAAAACTGGTCAAACAAGAGGTCCCATTTCCAGCTCCCAAATCTTATTTGCCTTCCCAATTACATTCCACCGGAAAATTCGCGGCATTCTGAAATTTACGGTAACCACTGTATAACCAAAATTACCTTATATCAACAACACATTTGAATTGTAAACAAGTAGGGGCATACACAGGAGTTTGCGATACTATTACGATATGAATAAAAAAGTACCACCTCCAACAATGAACGTTATTGTATCTGTGATGTTTCATGTTAAACTTATTTTTGTTTACATTCTTCATTTGTAAATGGCAATAAGTAGTAGAAACTGACTCCATTCATCCTTTCTCACATTAAAAATACGTCATATAGTATTACTGCTCATAAAATTCAATTTACCTCACGATAGGATCACAGACGTTCACAAATTGCTTATTATGGGCTTACAGTATTTGATACGACTATGAAATAAGTATACGCCAAAAATACATTCCGTTCGTTCGCCTTGGTTTGCTTTACAGTCCATATTTAGCGCCCACGACGGATCTGGGCTTCAAACAATTATACACACACTGTTATCGTCATCATATCGACTTATTTGAAAAATGAATGTTATTACAGGGGTCGATAAATCCGTATTAACTTCACCGCTTACTATTGGTTGCGACACAAATATCGAAAAATGACTACTAAATATGATACCAATCCCATGCGAATTAAAAATGAATTGGAACAGAAGAAAACATGAACAAGAATGGTATCAACTCCGACGTTAATTTCATTTCCCCGTATTAATTTAGCACTCGGATTTGATCCGGGACTTTGGATAAATAAATTCTCGTATTCAAGTAAAGTTTGATCTTGAATATGCAGGTTCAGGCCTTGGTTAAGTTATTTTCAAGAAGCAGATTCTGACACGAATACCTTCAAAAACTCGACATCAAAATCTACCTTAATTCTGTGCCTCCATTTCTATACAATACAACGTCAAATAATAAATCAGTAAATAATCGTACTTACCTGCACAACATAATGCAGCTAAAAATGAACTACACGAGGTCGAGCATTGACTAACGTCAGCAAACGCTGGTACGCCGGCACTTATGGAAAAGCTTATGGACACTCGACGAGATCACCAGCAGAAGGGTTTTGTTTATATTATTGCCGCCTCACGCGCCATGATTAAAAGAAACAATTTAAATTGTTGACCTTTCTCGATGGCCGAGATATAAAAAGCTTCCATAAAACACCAACTATTTTTCCCGTATTTAATGCGCGATCATATATAATCGTGGCTGCCTGAGAATAGATCTCTGTTGAAAGTTTTGCGTTATTTATTGGGGTATAATTTTCATATTTTTGCCAGAGATATTCCCCCGGTTAAAAGATAAGGTAAACAGGCGGCTTCGCAAACAAACAAGCCATATATCTCGCATTCAATCAAAGTCGCCCATATACGTCAAGGTATACATTATACACTTATTATACTGCTGTCGTTTCTATAACTGTCTATGACCATTATTGCCCAGGACGGAGGGATAACAAAAACTAGACAAAACGTGTTTGATCAAAAGCTCAAAGGGACAAAAATACACGTTCGGAGAATCAAATGGCGCCGATCTGGTGATTTAAAATAGCCATTCGAGGAACAAAGGCAAAGGCTTAATATCCAGATATGAGCCTGTTATTTGCAAACTTGATCTATCGGATAAGTCCAATCTAATAGGTTAATACAATGAAACACATATGTGACTTCTGTCGACAACAATAAGATGACTAGTTCATCAAATATTCTATTTGAATACAATTTCGCCGCAGCCTTTTCATTTTCAAATTTCTGCCTCGCTTTGCTATTTTTTGAATTGCTCACTCTAACTTTAAATATTTCCGCCCATTACACAATGATTCTGGCAAAATTCTTTCTATGTAGGTAATTTCTACAGCTCTCGAGTTCACTACTCGGTGTTTATCGCCTGCTATGCAATCAGTTACATGCCCTCAGTCCTTGGGATCTCTCATATCG